GACGCAACATAAATCAGTGGGTAAATTGAAAACTTTGGGTTTTTTTTTGGCTCATCACCATCTCAACAGTCCAGTATAATGCCCACATTGCTGCCGATGATTCACCAGCTCACGCTCCACCTTTCCATCGCTTGTGTATAACACCCCAAGATACTTGAACTTTTTTGGTCTAGGTGGCCTGCTTCTCAAGGAGCTTTCCAGTTTTCCAGATTTTATGTGGGTGCATGGACCAAACTGGTTTAGTGATGCTGCTAGCATGCATAAAAACAAACTCTTCACATTAAAAAATAAAAAAATATAAAATGAAGAAAGGGCTGTAACAAGGATGGGGATGCATTTCTTCAGTCTTATCTAACAGTTTCCCCCAAAGGAAGATGAGCAAAAAAACAAAAACCCAGCCAAACAAACAAACAAAACAAAACAAAACTCCCCAAAAAACCACAGACACAAGGTTTGTGCTGATAGAATAAAAGTCTCAATTTTATTTCTGTTTATCTATACATTAAACAGGTGTTCCTGAATGCAGCAAGAGAAAACACAGAACAGGATGCTAAGCGTCAAAGACTTGCTCGCATAGCAGAGGTGTGGCCGGTTTAGCAAAGACATGTACACTCTCTATCGCATATACTTATAACATTTTCTGAAAATGTAGGGTTGCCTCTGGGAGGCTATAATAATGAGGGAGTGTCAACTCCGAAAGTCTTGAAATTCTTTTCACATTATCATACCAACTGGAAATACTCCATACAGTAATAACCCTGTCTTTCCCTAATGATCACTGCAATGCGTTTATACCTAGTACAGACAGGTAGATATCCAAGCAGCCCTGTATAGCTCACTTAATACAAGTATGAAAATGTCATTAATAGGTCTGTATGGATTTGTCATGTCGCCGTTGTCCCCTTTAACTCAATCTCGAGGCCCAGTTTTCCATCTCCGCAGTTGGCCCTCTACCCGACAGTGATGTGGTACCAGGTACGTAACTCAACACCTGCATAGGAATTCAATTACACACAAACTCCCTGGGTCAATACCCTGGACCAGAGCAAAGCTTACAATTGAACTATTATTAAAACAGTCCAACGAATGGCTTAAGTGCTTCCGTGAAACCGACTGCTGTGTATCTGAACACACGCTCTTCCCACAGTAGAGAGGTACCAGCACATTTCATGTTCACCAGCACGGTTGGAAATGAAAACAATAACCATCAGTAAGAACATAGAAACATACTGAAAAGGGACGCAACCCTTTTCTCTCAATAAAAGAAACAAAAAACAAAACAACAGAAAAACACTTTGGTGCAGAAAAGATTCCATTGGTACAGGGTAAAAGAAAATATAATGCACTTTGTATAATTACTCACAGTAAGTCAATCGTTAATACTTTCTTACACTAAATGCATAATTTTAACATTTAAATTACATTTAAGTGACGGTGAGGGGAAAAGCGATGCAACAGGGGAATCACAGTTAATTATTCAAGAGGACAGGAACGTCGACAAAAAACAGTCTTCGTGAATATACCCTGATCGCATTTTTGGCATGGTCCAAATTTTAGAAGTTGACACATTCCTCTACGTGGGTATTTTGTCATTTCATCCCTCTTCTATAACACAATCTGAGGTTAACATGGACTCAAACTTAACGTGTGGTTTTGTTTTTTTGCTGAGGACCTCTTCTACTCCATCGTCCCAGTCTGACTGAGATTTCCTGGGCGGCATGCGACCAGTGAACAGTGGCTTCCTCTTAACTTTCACATCGTCGACATCTGAGTGTGAGCTAATAATCATCTATTATCTATAGTGTAACCTGATCTAATCAGTAAAAATGCATATTTCCGAAAATACACTGCGACAATGTAAATTGATAGACAACAGGTGCTAAAAGCAGATGCATCCATTTGAACTCGGCAACTTCTGAGGTACTTCTGAAACTCACAGCTGAGGATATAATCACTATCTACAATATTTGGATGGATAGCATATAGTTGATACAGTAAAAGCAGGGTTATCGATTTTCGTGAAATATTTTGGCTTTAGAATTCGAGTAAGCTGAGGGGATAGTGGCGGTTGACACACCTGAATAAAACATAGCCGTATGACGATAAAAACATAGAAAAACAGCACCATTTGAGGTCCGATAGATCAGTTTTCGAACTGTTTGCTGGTAGCACCGTCAACCAGTAAAAATCTCAGAATGCAATACAGAGACAGAACACAACCACTGATCAACTGCACAACATAGCAAAGAGCGAAGATATATATTCGGAGACGACCCCTCACACAGACACCCCTTTACAGCAGCATCTTTAAGCAGGTAATAAAACTGATTTCCTCCTAAGAATGATATTTGTGTACTGAGGTGTTTTACAAGTTTTTAATATGCTGTACATGTTGAGAGTAACCAGGTATACCTTTTCCTATAGATTTTTTTTTTAATATACACACATAGTTTACAGTCACTGACAAACAAACACCAGAGTAACAATGAGGTAGGACGGTGAAGTTAGATGAAGTAGAACCGGTTTGTGGATTGTATACAAATTTTCTGATAACTGTAATAAAAATATAGGCCTAACTATGTGTTCCTCCCCGTTTTCTCCTTTTAAACCAAGTCCGACACTGTATCTGTGGCTCAAATGTGTGTCTCGCGTACACCTAGCTCCGAAAACAGTGGCACCGAGCCATTTATCTTGTTCCGCACAGTGAAGCTAAAACCAGATCGCCTTTTTCCTTAATCAAACTGTCAAAAAGCAACCCGAAGCTCCTTCCCTTCTGCAACTTAAACAGGTGTTTACAACATAAGCCAAAACAACAGTGAGGAGGACGGGATCGTCCACGTGAACGTCAGGAGAGAAAAGAACTAAAGGTGGCGTAAAAAGACGATCGCAAAGCCGCCAAGGTTACGTTTCCTGCCTATCACTACTTAAGTGTAACGGTGAAAGCACCGACTGGTCTGGTGTCGTGACGCGAAGCCAAAATTAGTGGCTCTGCTTGTGAATAAAACGGTATAGTATGTTACTGATATGCTGCTAAAAACCCGAACCGCTCTTCTGCAAGTGACTCGGTACATTTGATAAAGAACGGCCTTGCCTTTACAGATTAAGCCAAATCTGGGTTAAAAACATACAGTCCTTCCATACAGCTTTCATCCTTTGAAGGTGGTTTTAGTTAAAGGATTAGGCTTAATGGCCATCCAGGAAACAGGCCTTAACATTTTTGATGATGTAATAGCTCTATTAATGGTCTTTCTTTAAGCATCGTTTTAACCACACCCCTCCCATTTTGGCATAAACAACAAAGAAACAAACACAAATACAATACACAACAATGTCTTAGAATTTTAGCAAAGGTACTTTGCACAGCAGAAATCTTTTCTTTTAAAATGCACAGCCTAGCGCACATAAACCTTTGTACAGGGAAAAACAAAACGAGAAATCAGAGGGCACCGAAAAAGGGAAATTTTCTAGGGAACCCCCACAAACAGTATATCAATAACACATCGCCGTTATAAGGCGGCGCTTTACGCTCGGCCATTTTTTTAAAAATTTGTTTTGTTTGTGCAAACCCTGCTGATTCTAAACCCCGTCTTTAGCTCGATCTCAGCATTCAATACTTTGGCTCACAATTACCACTTATTTGTAAAAAATACACTATTATCTCTATAGGAGTCCTATTTATACATTACCAGCATCAGGTTAAAGCGCATATTCCAGTCAGCTTGCACATTTCATTGGTCAGTTTTTATACTGGTGAATCACATTTTGCAGATAGTAGTAGTTATCAATTTTCTAACTAAGTTTTTTTCTTTGAAACTGTTCCTTTTTGAGACCATGACGGAGTTGCAGATTAAACTATTGAGATAATTTAACTTACTGAAATGGAGTTTTTTTTAAAAGAAACCTGTTAAATCTATTAGGGCTGCCCCTGACCAAAGATCTTCCTAGCTGAACAGTTTTTGTGACCGTGATCTAATTAATCCAAAAATATATTTTAACATATTTTCTAATGTGTTTTGTCAAGCACGACAAAGTGGTTTGAAAGCTGAGACAGAACGTTGTAAGTAACACCATAACCACCGTGCTACATACCAGAGAAAAGAAATGATACAAACTCATGTACGAAGCGTTCTGCCTCTTACAGACAGCAGCAAAAGAGGTAATTATTCTGATTGTGCTGCAATCACTAGTACGCAGACTGTCTTAAGACGGCGGCCATGCCAAGTGGCCAACATTCGCCTACTTGCATATTTGAAACAAAAACCAATGTTTGAGGTTGATGACTGACAGACAAATATTTATCTGTCACCTTCCTACGCTTTGGATTTTGTGTGTGAAAAAAAGCGAGAAAAAAAAAAAGTTTCCATGAGCGACTGACACTTCCTGTAGAGTGAGCGTTTCCTTTTTAGGTCGACCAAGAATGTTCCGACTCCTGGAGGGGCGGGGGGGTGGGGCAGCCCTAAAGTCTATCAAGCATGTTAGCGGCAAATCTGACAAATGAATCAAAATGTACCAAAACTCATTCTTGCCATAATAAACCATAAAAAAAATGTCTTAAGGTGCTTCATGATAATACAATGATTGTTAGGCCTTAATCTATGAGGACATGTTTGTTTGTTTGTTTTATTAATTTAAAAAAAAGGACAAATACCACAAAAACATTTCTTTAAGATCGAAGAATTTGCCCATTTAAAGTGCATTCAATGTAAATGATTTGTGT